GGGCTGGAATATCTCCAGAGAAGGAGACTCCACAGCCTCCCTGGGCAGCCTGGGCCAGGGCTCCGTCACCCTCAGAGGGAAGAAGTTCTTCCTCATCTTCAGCTGGAGCTTCCTCTGCTTCAGTTTGTGCCCATTGCCCCTTGTCCTGTCGCTGGGCACCACTGGAAAGAGTTTGGCCCCATAGTCGCTTCACGCCCAGCCCCGTGTCGGTGCACAAGAGCTGCCGGGCGCCCGGCCGGGGCGAGGACGTTTGCCAAATACCTTCAGCCCCGTTTTGTTCACCGCTGTGATTTTTAATGAACCTTGAAACCAACCCGTCCGCGGCGCTGTTTGCTCCACGTTGGGATCAATCATGTCTGGGCACGGCCGTGATGCATGGGCACAATGCACAAGTGCGAGGCACAGATGCAATGCATGGCTGTGATGCGCTGTCGCAATGCAGGGATGCAATGCATGGATGCAGTGCATGGCCATGATGCTCATCTGTGATGCATGGATGCAATGCACGGCCATGAGGCACCACCACAACGTGTGGATGCAGTGCACGGTCACGATGCATGGATGCAATGCACAGATGCAATACGTGGCCACGATGCAGGGATGCAGTGCACAGACACAATGCACGGCCGCGATGCACTGTCACCATGCATGGATGCCATGCATAGATGCAATGCATGGCCATGATTGTGCCATGACGCCCAGGCACAATGCACAAATGCAACGCACAGCCACAATGCATGGCCAGAATGCGCTGTCACAATGCATGGATGCAGTGCATGGTCATGATGCATGGATGCAATGCATGGCCACGATGCACTGCCACAATGAGTGGATGCAGTGCATGGTCATGATGCATGGCCACGATGCGCTGTCACAATGCATGGATGCAATGCGTAGATGCAGTGCGTGGCCGTGATCCAGATCTGTGAGACATGGATGCAATGCATGGCCACGCTGCGGTGTCACGATGCATGGATGCCATGCATGGCCACGATGCACCGCCACAGCGCATGGATGCAGTGCATGGTCATGATGCATGGCCACGATGCGCTGTCACAACGCATGGATGCAGTGCATAGATGCAGCGCTTGGCCGTGATGCAGATCTGTGATACAGGGATGCAATGCATGGATGCCATGCATGGTCACAATGCACCGCCACAGCGCATGGATGCAGTGCACGGTCCCGATGCATGGCCATGATGCACGGATGCAATGCACAGATGCAATACATGGCCACGATGCAGGGACGCAATGCACAGCTGTGATGCATGGCCGCAATGCATCACCACAATGTGTGGATGCACTGCATGGCCACGCTGCATTGCCACAATGCGTGGATGCGGTGCATGGCCACGCTGCACGTCTGCGATGTGTGGATGCACTGCATGGCCACGCTGCATTGCCACAATGCGTGGATGCGGTGCGTGGCCACGCTGCATGTCTGCGATGTGTGGATGCACTGCATGGCCACGCTGCATTGCCACAATGCATGGATGCAGTGCATGGCCATGCTGCACATCTGCAATGCGTGGATGCATGGCCACGCTGCGCAGCTGCACGGGGCCTCGGTGATGCAAACCCAGGGCGGCGTGGCGAGAGAGCATCACCTCTGGATTTCCCAGCTTCTGCAAACCCCCACGAACTGCCGAACACAAAGTCACCTCAGGGCACTTTTTTTTTCCCTGCCGTACAAATATGCAAGTTAAACTGTTTTGGAAGCCAAAGGCATTTTCCTGTAGACCAAAGCAAATATTTGGTGAGGAGGGAGACACTATGCCGTCCTCGGTGCCAGCATAAATCTATGGCTTAGGAAATGGGTGAACTAGTTTACAGATTAAAGATCCTTGCTCGTTCCGTCATGCGTGCACTTGTGTCCCTGGGGACGGCTGTGGGGCAAAAAGTGCTTAAGGAATATTTGCCCTTGAAATAAAGAATAAGAATTGCGTGATGTTAGAGCTAGGACGGATCCTCGCGCTCGATACGGATTTAGGGGAACATCGGGAAACGGCAAGAGACAGCGATTCCCATCTGCGAGTCACTGTCCGTGCTTGGGTTGGGTTATTTAACCCCAGTAAAGAGCTGGAGCTGGGGGCAATGGTGCTGGAGGGGGCTCAGAGCTCCTGCCACAGGACCCTGCACCGGCCCCTCGCCTTTCTGCTGCCGGCAGCAAAACCTCCTGTGCCGCCGCGCCGCTCCCCTCCGGCGGGGCCGGGTTTGTTCCCAGCAGATAGACTGGTATTTTTTTATAAATTATGCCAGGAAAGCTTTTCCTGAGGTTTTTCTGAACCCGAGGAGGGAGAATGAAACTGCTGGGTCAGGTTTTTTTCGGGCTCGGCTGCGATCCTGCGCTGCCCTAACCGCGGCGCCGGGGTCGGGACGCAGGGTGGCCATGGTGGGGTACGCTCAGGGGTTTTGGGGTGTCCTCTGTGACCCCCGCTTCTGGGGGACGTGGTGATGGGTGGGGGGGATGCCCGCAGCGGGGGGCGAG